GAACCAAAGCAGAAGAGCTACGAAGATATTGCCACATACTTGCACACGTACTTGATATACAGCCATTGCGTGATGCAGGTAGATGATAGTCTTCAGCGGTTGTTTGTTCACATCGAATGGATATTCTACTTCAAGTGGAAAGGGTTGGGACAGCAATAATGGTCCGAAGAGCACTGTGATTGCGGTTACGGTTATCCAGCACATTGTCGTAGCGTAAAATAATTTGGATTTGTTAATATATTGCTGAAATATATTCTTCTCTTCTAATTTCGCTTTCTCGATATAATCTTCCATTTCACATATTATTGTCTGTATAAATGTATTATTCAATCTTTCTTTAACGAAATTAATGAGACTTAAAGGTGCCTTCACATATATCAGTTATATATATTGATTAAAATATAGCAATATTTTCGGTACACCTACATATTTTATTTGTAATTTTTTTAAGCTCTTGGCAAATTAAACTTTGCGCAAATGTAAAGTATAGTTCGATTGAATGTAATTATTATTGTAACAGATAAAAGTTTTCCATATGTATAATGTATTATATGATATAAACAAAATATTAAATATGTAGCAGATATTATTGCTTCTTCCGTAATATTTATTAGAACTTGATCCGTTCACTCTCTCGTTATCGAGATCTCAACATCTCGTATAGGTATTCGTAACCCGTCGCGTCGCGTAAAAGAGTCACGGTCGCTCTCGCTCCGCGTATACTTGGCGCGAGACACTACCGTGTCTCTTGAAATAAATTCTTTTTTAGGTGCGATTATTAAAACAATTCAATTTTGCTAAATATCATTTTTTTAAATAAGAAACATAAATAGGTAAAAACAGAGAAAAGTTTATAAACGGTGATAATAAACGGTAATAAAAGTGATAGTGGAATCAATTAAGTAAAGGTTTTGTTCAACATTTTTTATATGTACTTTATAAGATTTGAAAAACGATAAAATTACTTTCTTAATAAATTCGAAAAAGTTGAAAGATGTTGCAGTTCTAAACACTTTGAGGTACAAACAAAACGAAAAGACCTACTAAATTTCACAATTTACATACTAGTCCATTTCTTAGTTGTTCCTTTCGCTGAGAGAATTTTAATGTCATAAAATGTATTTTGATGTAAATAATAATAAGAGTAGATCAGAAGATTTGAAGGAAAAAAAAAGAAAAAAAAGGCCAAGATTTCATGATGTCAGAGATGTCAAATAATTTAGTGCCTATAGTGATGGCCGCGGATAATTTTATATGTAATTGTTGATAATTTTATATTAATTAAAATTATTTGAATTTACGATGTGTATATTGAGTTAATCTATATTTGTGCAAAGCTTGAAATATATATTTTTTTTGCTTGTTAAAATGCACAAGCAAGATTAATTCTAAAAAATTTTATATGTATAATATTTTTATATATAACTTAATACTGAATTATGAGTAAATAAATATGTAAATATAAATAAATATATATACAAGGTACGCGGAAAAACTAGAGGTACAAACATCTAAGAACGATAGAGGGGACTGGAACAAACGTGTTTTGCTTATAAAATGGTAGTTGGAATGTTTCCTTTTTGCTTAGGCACTGAATGAAGGGTGACGATTGGAAAACGGCTATACCAAAACGTTTTATTTGATCCGGTTATCTTCAAGTGGAAAAGCATTTATGTCGCTGTGTGTACAATTACATGTGACAATTCTAAAAAGGTAAGTAAAA